TGTGTGCAGGAGGAGGGACAGTTCAGCTTCATCACAGGAGGCCCAGTCTGCATTTAAAAGAACTTTGAGCAAGCACAAGGCCAAGAGAGAGGAGACAATGGAGAACTTATCAAGACACAAATACTTATTTTTAAAGAATGGCTTCAACATGTATTAATTTCCCTTTAAAAAGCCAAGAAAATGGGGCCAGTCATAGTTCTTGAGGGAACATATTTCATGACCGTGAATGGTACATGAGAAAAGCTTTTCATACCAGATAAATGCAGGTATGTGGACTGATGAAACACAAGCTTGCTTGAAGTGCTCCAAACTCCATCTCAAAGTTTGTTCCAAATCAAGTCATTGTCCCTTTGCAAGTTTTGCAAGCTTTTGTGCACATCTTCAAAATGTATTTATTTTCTCCCATTGCTTAAATCCTATTTGTGTGTGTTTTTCAAAAGTACATATTTTTCATGCCTAGTTTTCAAATTCCAAATATATTTTGTTGGTTTGCAAATTGCATGGCAAGCCTGGGAATCTATAGGCCTTGACTGCAGATTGTTTCTGAGTCTGTGCTCAGGTTCAAATGTACAAAACTGGCACCTGTGGGAGTAGAAAGATTCCTCTCTTTGACAGTTTCAATTTCTTTCCAAACAATTGATGGAGAAATTTGAAAAAAATGTCATCCAACCTGCCCATCCCAACTCCTTGTTTCCATACATTCATATACTATTATCTTTATTAATATTTTTGAAATAAAACAGTAAAATAGAAATTAGCAGAAGAAATAACATTATAATGGTTTACTTATAGCTCAGTAAAGAGAAAAAAAGGTTCACAATTCGTATCCAAAGATCCCTTGCTCATAAAGGAAAAAGCTCAGTTCATTTTGAATACAGAGGGTGGAGGGAAGCATAAAGGAATTCTATATTCCAAATAAAAATAAAGATAACTACTAGATGGCCTAACTAAAGAGTGTGGCAGGCTGTAACACATTGGTCCTGATGAACCAGAAAATGCTTGCAAATTAATAAAAACATCAGATTTATTGAATTTAACAATCCATGCAGGTCTTTTAAAAACAAATGCATGAAGGAACAACAAAAGCAAACTTTATTCGTATTTGGAGTGCAACATAAAAGATTATGGATGAGGACACATTGTACTGCAGGGGCCTTTCAATTAATTAATGAATTAAACCATCCAACAGCTGAAGCTCTCATAGCTTGAAGTAACAGGAAACATGTCCTTTTCAGGGGGTGATTTAAATGAAAGGAAGATATTTCCTTAATTGGAACACTGAAAAGAGATCCTGTGGGGCTCACTGTGTGTGGAAACATTTTTGTAGCCAGGTAGTTTGAAATGTAAACCAGCATTACTCTGTCAGTGGTTAGATAATCTTGTTCATTTTATGACCCACGAAGTTCAGCCTAGCAAAGTGCAGTGGACTTATTTATTTATTTAGAAAATTTCTATGCCGCCCCATTCACCGAAGCCTCTGGGCAGCTCACAAAACATCAATTAAAATATAATACACTAAAAATATAAAACGAAGACTTCAAATGAATTATACAAAGGGGCAGATTACAAGCACATTCCTTTGTTGAATTTCTGCTATTAGTATTCCTGGTTTTACTCCTGATCTTCATTCAGCTCCTGACAATTCCTTATTCATTATGTTTGCTCTACAGCCTACTGCACAGTAACCCAAGCCGAATGTAACTTAGTCCTTCATCCAGTGCTCTGCAGAGAGGCATCAGCATTAGACAGCAGAAATGCAGCAAGATGCCTTAGCTGCCAATGTCAGCAGAAGTCCAAAGCATTCGCCATGGCTTGCAAGGTCTCTTTGTGTGTTGAGCTGCAGGCTGCAAGTGATTCCTATTGCTCCTCTCCACCCTGCTGACAAGGGGCAATGGGGAGAAAGGGAAACCTCATTGCTCCCACAAAGCCCCATAAGATACCTGCAGGAGGTCCAAAGGGAGAGATATGGTACATCCTAAGCATGATGAGCCTGATCATCTTCTAAGATAGACTGTAGCAGTCTGGCTTATGCGTCCTAAAACCTGTCCATTTGTTCAGATTTAGAAATACTTTGTACAATTTAAAGACATATGTCATGCATAATAACGAAGTGGAAAGACTGTGGCCAGGGCACCTTTATGTCTATTCACTCTGTCACCTTTCCATTTGGTAACTGTCAATAGGGAACTTCAATAAGGCAACTTCAGTAAGGGGACTGTCAATAAGGCTTCTGCTCTCCCTTGTCTACAGATATTTAAAATAGTCTTGAATTGGTCAGCCTATAGAATGCTTTCAAATGATGAATGTCCTTCATAAAGTAAGATAAGTAAGAACCAGGGTAAGAGAAGGTAGAAACAAGTTCTAGACCCTTCTAGAGGTCTTCTTCACAGAAGAAGTGATTAATTTTGTTTGGACCTCAGTAAGGCAAGGTGAAGATCCAAACCACATTGCCAGGGGGCAACACAGTTCCACAGATCCAAGAGGCAGTTGCCATCCGAGCACACAGTCTTTGGTTCATAATGAGAGGATGATGGAGTGGGGAGCAGATGGCCATGTAGCGGTCATAGGCCATGAAAGCCAACAGATAGCACTCCACTGTTCCAAGTGAAAGAAGAAAATACATCTGTGCTGCACAGCCAGCATTCAGACACAAAATTGATGAGCATCTTGGGGAGAGTCACTGAAGTGTAGCAAAGCTCTAGGAAGGACAAGTTCCTCAAGAAAAAATACATGGGTGTGTGAAGGGCTGAATCAACCAGGGTAAGGGTGACAATGAGGCCATTTCCCAATAGTGTGAGGGTATATATAGTAATGAAGCCAACAAAGAATATCATTTCTGTTCCAGAATTATTGGTGAATCCAAGGAAAATGAACTCAGGTCTCATGGTGTGATTTCTTAGCTTAGAATCCCCAGTAAAAGTCATCTAAAAAGAAAGAGAAAAAGATGTGGAAACAACATGTTCATCTACCTGTTTTACAGTTTATTCGTAACTGTGCATATGATTTGCAGCCCTTGCCCTTCACCTTTCTTCCTGAAATCCAGTACTTGTAAAGTATGCTCAATACATGAAGGGTGATAAAGAAATACTTTGAATGAATGAACAAATGGAAGGATGGAAGGATAGACAGTCAGAAGGACAGACGGGCGAACAAACAAACAAATGAATGAAAGCAGAAGTCTCTGGAACATTCTATATATAGATATTTTCTGGCCCATGGAATCATCTCAAATACCCTTCCTTCTGTTTACTCTGTTGTTATTTCTCACCCACATGGTTATGCTTATGAAAGGGACAGGCACTACAATGAGACTCAACATTTCAAAGGCAACAAAAGACTCATCTCTGAGAGAAGAGCATGTTTTGGTTCAGGTATGTGACTCTGCACAAGGAGCAGTCAATTCTCACTGGCTTCATGGAGGTTAATCATGATGGCTATATATTTGCTCCAGGATAAAAGGCAGCAGGCAGCAGAATAGGGGTTGCTGGTGAATACAAGTGCAAATATTTGTACTCATTTCATTCACAGCCTACTTGCAGACTTTCCTTAAGTATCTGGTGGGCTACTGTAGGGGAAAAATGTTGGACTGAATAGATCTTTGGTCGGAATCAGCATGGGACTTCCTGCTCCTATGAGACTGTACAGGGGTTTTCCCTCTAGACTCTGGAAGTTATGAATAAAAATACCCACACTGGGAACAAGCATATGGCATTACGGATAAAGATACACAAAGAAGAGACAACTGGTATATCATTTTCTACATTTATAAATGTCCATTGTATTTTATATATCTCTTTTCAGAGGATTTTAAAATGTCCTGTTTTTAACACTTCAGTTCATTTGCATATATACTATGTTGTGTTGTAATGTACAAAATATGCCTGATTTATAATCTTCTTTATCCATACCATCAAGGTAGGAAATAAAGCTTATTGATTGAATTAAAACATTGAAAAGAGTTAGAGTTGATTCCTTAAAATCTGTATAATCAATACTGCCACTCAGACACACACACACACTCCCAGTCCTGTCTCACTCACTCCAATTAAATCCTGCTTAGCTCGGGTCATTATCAGCAGAATAGAATGCTCTACACCAGTGGTTTTCAACCTTTTTACAGCTGGGGATCAGCAAAAATAGGAAAATTATTTTGAGGACGACTGAGGCAGAACTAAAAAGCATTATATACATAATGTAGTATTTTGTGGGTTCGTTTTTAAATATAATACCAAAAAATGAAAATTCTCTAAAATAACCAGAAGCAGTTCAAAATGCTAATAAAAGGATAAAATTTTGAAATTAAGTGTAATCAAATACAACTTAATTTTAGAGAGCAATATTTAATTCAAATAAGGCTGGTGTAATCTACTGTTGCTTCTTTTAAAGAATACTTGATCAAAAATTTACAATAGCAAAATACAAAATCAGCATAAATGCAATACTATACCTATAGCACATACAAATTCAAATACAATATTAACAGCAGAGCAATACAAAATCAAACCAAGTTATTTAAAACAGTAATATTCTTGTTAATTAATGAAATATAACAAACCCTACCCACTCAAACCCCCATACACACCATCACAGATTGGTTAGGACAACACACTCCACATAACCCCACCTCAACATTTCCCTTACCAGCAAAAGGACTAGTCTTCATGGCCCCATCCAAAGGTGGATCTGGCACAGCGCAGCTCCCAGCTGGCTCCTGTTGAGCTGCCTCTCCACCATTTTCTGTGGTTGGTGTTGGCCAGTTGGGTACTTGTAATCTGGAATGGTAACTACAGTTGCACGATAGCTTTCACTGTATAGCATCTATATGACTTTTCTAGTGAACATAAAATCCTGGGGCTCAGTAGCACTCTGAAGATGTATTTCTTAAATAATATGCCTATTAAGGGGTATGTCCATTAACAGCCACAATTTCCCAGCACGTTGGAGCTTGAGTGAACGTGAAAAACACTTAATACAACATGTTAAACTAAAGTTACAATTTTTAAAATTGTAAAAAAGCAGGAATAATGACACTTTCTTTCATTCTCTGGGGTAACTTTGAAGTACCACATGGGACTGACTTGCACCAAAATTTTGCACTGTATCTACCAGTACCAGCACCTTGAAGAAAGAATCCTGAACTATCTGTCACTTAAAAGCCAGAACCTCTCCAAAGTCATTCTGGTATAGGTAAAAAAAATAAAACTAATAAAATAATTAGCCAAGCAAAGGACAGTAAGCCCTGGAGGATGAAAATGTTCCACATAGTCCAGAAAACTGGTAATGATTTTTCAGTTCCTTTCCTAAGGCTTCCTAAAGGCAGAATTTGCCATTTCCACATCAGCCACACATTTTAGTTAAATTAAGGGATGGATGAAAAACACACAGTACATTTTATTGTGAAATTACCTGTTCTACACTGATTTCACTGAAACTGAAAGAACATTATTGGTTGTTAGGTGCACAAAATCCCAGAGCTGCTTCTTAATTTAAAGGCTGAAGTGTCCAAGGAGCACCATCTCTTCTCCCATGTGAAGCTTCTGTGTCAGTTTTAAATTAGCCTCTGAAATCCTATCTTATTTCTGGAGACCAGCTTTGTGCTTACTAGATAAGGCTTTTCAAGTGGTACAATGTCAATTTGGGAACTACTTTCAAAGTTCACCTAGAATTGTCTTCAGTGGTGCCAGGTTAAAACCGTCTAATCCTCCCAAATTTTTAACTAAGAATAATGATTTTGATATCTGGGTCGATGCTAATTTTAGGTTGTTTCACTGCTACAAATGGTAAATTTGTAATCTTCCTTGAAAATAGATAGACAAATGATATAGAAATGAAAGGACAAAGTATATATTTCTTAAAAACATAATACATTGTAGGTGAGATATGTGGGAAGCAAGGAAAAACTCAATCTTTGTTTTGGTGAAGTAAATATTTGCTCTAATTGGTTCCTAATTGAGTACAAATTGAAATGTAAAGGCATTATTAACTGTTAGTTATGGAACACTGAGTGAAAGTTAATGTTTAATTTGAAATTTAGATGCTGTCTAACAGTTCCTGTGTAAAGTTGAATTGAAAAATGATAAAAACTGGCAATTTTCATTCTTCTTTATACTGAAAAATGGTTTTAACAAGCCATCACAACTTGAACAAAAACTCTTTTAATACTTAATTAGAAACTGATGTGTGGATGTATACAAAATAGTTTAGGGCAGGGGTAAGGACCCTTTTCAAAACTCATCCTTCAAATTAGATCTGTGAAGTCTCAGGTTCACGTTTTATCTGCATGTGAGGCCAAATGTTATTTCTACAACTTTTAGGGTTACACAAAAATGAACATGACAAGCTTCTACATGCCACTTATAATTAAGTAAGACAAGCCTCCACAGGACATCGATTGGAAAAAATCAGGACTGAATCACTCAACAGTCCATTTCAAATCAGAATTAAACATGAGCATGACGTCTATTCACATGCAAGTACAGCAAACCTGTATGAGACTACCCAGGAAGAAAGAGGACAGAATCACTCTGGTCCTTTCTTTTCTGCCCTGACTTCACTCCCTCTGCACCACATGGAAAGTTCTTCCTGCTAATTGGAGGTAAGTGCTTTCCTCTGTACAGTGGAGGGAGAGCCGGGTGGGAACCCCTGCAAACCCTATGAAGTCCCTTACTCCTGGCTTAGAATCATGGGACAATTCATGCAGAACAGAGACTCATGCTTTTATGCACACTTTTCTGGGAGTGCATCCCACTTTTTAAAGGTATGTATACTTAGGATTGAACTGTCAATGTACACAAGTCTTCTACTTCAAGGACAGTGGGCCAAAGGGTTTGTCAGAATGTCTCTCGCTTACTTGAAGTGGGAGGCCAGCCCATGGATGTCAGTTGCTCTATCTATATAATTATGCTAGTAACAAACATCTCTGGGAAATTCAGAGCTACTCCGATGTACCAAAACTCCAAAGCATCAGCTGGGGATTAATTGGAAGGTGTTCAAATGGTTTGCCATTCAGAGGCTTGTGCAACTATTACCAGTTCTTCTTCTGACTTTCCTTTCTTATTTCTTTGGTGTAGGTGGAAGGATTCTGGCAGTGGGCTGAATCCAGGACAGACTGTGCTCCCTCTGCCCAATTTTGAGGAATGATTACCCTGCACTTTTTACCTCACCCTATTCAGCAGAGTCTCCTTTAGGGGGACAGAGGAGCCAGGTTTAATTTAATCATTGCAATTGATGCAGTCTGAATAGAATATGTAACTAACTCATGGTTACAAAAAACAAATGATCTAAATCCTGCTTGTAACAGCTCCCTAGCCTCCATGAACTTCTAGACATTTTATACATCTTTCTCAATACTTTTCTCTTTCCACAGGTAAGTGTAATTCTTCTTAAAGCAGCAATCAGATACCAAGATCAGTGTCTATTATTGTATGTATTACCATAGATATACTGCATCTGGAGGTTTGTATGATACTAACTTTCTGCTGTGTTGCATAATAGCTAGGGCAAAATATTTACTTTTCATCCTAATGCTGTGCATGAAGAGGTGATTTCTCTGATCAGACAGACTGGCAGCTCTGTCTTACAATTTAGTATCCATCTCACTTGGAAATGTATCCTCCACATCTTCCTGGCTAAGCCAGTATTGAAGTATTTATTACTCTTTCTTTCATAGTTTTACTTAGGATTGCAAAGCAAATTTTCCTTCAAAAGCTATTTCAGCTCTGTTAGCACTAGTACAGCATATGGTGTGGAATCTACATAAGAGTCACTTCCATTTAACAGAAATGTGGCAGTATATATGCAAGACGTATTTTCACATTCCATGCTAATGAAAGCAGCAGAGTTTTCCGTGTCACACAAGTGTAACTGAGGGAGAAACAGGAGTTTCTTCTGAAGTAAAAAGGTGATGTGTGCATGGAAAAGACCCCCCCCCCCAATGCAAAACTGGGTGGAGGCTTTTCCCCATTGTTGTCTGTGTGCAGGTGTGAAGAGGTTGAAAAAGGGTTGAAAAGACAACTCCTTCTGCCCCTTCATGCAAACAAAAAAGAAAAGAGAGAGCGAGAGAGTTAGAAAGAGACCAAGATAGAGAAAGAAGAAGGGGAGGGGTGCTGTTGCTTGTTGTCATGGAGTGAATCCAGCAGGATCAACAACCACAATGTCCTCCACTCCAAATCAATTCCCAAAAGCTAGTGCACACCATTTACTGTGTTGACATTCCCATGAGTAAGCGCCATAATGAAACGAAATGAAATTGATTTATTTCTCAGTAATGTTTTTCAAAATAATCTGATTTACTTCTGAGTCCTCATATATAGTAGTCATATTCATCCAGAACATTTTCAGCTAGTTGTTCCTTGATGCAAAAGAACGAAGGATATATTTGAAGACATTCTAAACTGTATCTGTTGAGCCTGCATGATTCTTCCTTTTGCAATGTCTCTCCTCACCTGCCCACTGAAGTGACTTCTTGTCCTCAACAAATAAAAAAGCAGTACTGCAAGTTTAACACTTGATGATGGTATGCTTTTTCAGTCTCACATGCATTGCATCCTGAACATAAGAGTTTCTTTTCTTTAGATTTCACATGAAAATCTGCACATATTTTTGTGTGTGTTCTGCACAGCACACACCTACTCGAATCCTACTGCAAAATTCAGAAAAATTTGGATTTTAAATGATAATGAGTTTTGGATAGTAAATTGGTTGGCAAGTGTGACGTTCAGGACTGGGTAGAGATTTGAATCAAGGTCCACCCTACCCTAGTGTGATACTAACCACTTCATCACACTGTGTCTCTTTTTGTTGAAAATGTGGAAGATTACAGGGTCTAAAGTTTGCATTAAATATTTTACTTTGCATTCATTTATGGCTGTTTTTTTTAAATCTTATAGGAGAAGAACGCAGAAGAAATCATGAATGAGAACAGCACTATTGTAGTTGGATTTATTCTCCAAGGAATCTATCAACAATCTGATTTACAAGCCTTGCTTTTCACAGCCTTCCTGATCATCTATATTTTTATCTTGACGGGAAACACACTGGTTTTTGCTGCCACAGTCTTTAATCGTGCTCTGCACACACCCATGTATTTCTTCCTTAGACATTTGTCTTTTCTGGATATCTGCTTTGCATCTGTAACTCTCCCCCACATGCTTATGAACCTCCTGTCAGAGAAGAAGACTATTTCCTTCTTAGGCTGTGCCATGCAGATGTTCTTTTTCATCTTTTTGGGGGCTTCTGTGTGTTACCTCCTTGCTGTAATGGCATATGACCGTTATCTGGCCATCTGTCATCCTTTACATTACATCAGACTCATGACTAAGAGGGCCTGCTTCCTGTTAGTTGCTGGCTGCTGGCTAACCGGGTTGTCCATATCCCTAGTGCAGACACTGTTGCTATTTTCCCTCCCCTTCTGTGGGTCTGACATCATCAACCACTTCTTCTGTGACATCCTCCCACTCATGAAGCTACACTGCCCCAGCTTCCACATAATAGATGTGGAGAGGATTCTAACAGCGTTTCTGGTGCTTGCCACCACATTCATACTCATCCTGGTTTCCTACATTCTGATCATTGCAACCATCTTGAAGATTCCCCTGATGGGTGGAAGGCAAAAGGCTCTGGGCACCTGTTCCTCACATATCCTCTCTGTGCTTGTCTTTTATGGAGCAGTTATGTTCATGTACTTGAGGCCCCATTCTCATTATTCAGATTCTATGGATAAGCTTCTTTCCCTGACCTACACTGTAGCTCCTGCAGTGCTCAACCCTATTATCTACAGTCTGAAGAACAAGCAGGTGAAAGATACCTTAAGGAATATGTTCATCGAAAGAAACTGTTCTGTAGGCACATGAAATGTCCATATTGGAAAATGATCTTATACATCTATAGGCCACCTCTTGGTTTGCTCTCATGGGAAGGTGGTCTTTTCTTCCCTGACTACTGTTAGGACCACAATTAGACATACCAGTGCTGTGAGAGATCCATTGAGGCTCCACACAGGGAAGCAATGAAAAAGACAATGTGTTGATATGCTCAATTCATTATTGTATATAAGAGGAATGGGCAGCTTCATACCCTTGCTGCAGGCTGTGCCCCCTGTACTTAAAAATGACATGTGTGGTGACTACAATATATCCGGAGGGTAAACATTTACTCTTTTGCAATGTAATTCTGATATCTTTGGTATTCTAACGCCACGATGACTGTCATTTTAAAATAATTGCAAGTGCACTGGGAGAGTGAGCTGGCAGGGGGTGTTGTCCACCCTTGCCTTCTGGTTGCTTTCCCATTCCCATCTCCCTAGTATGTCTGGTTGCTTTCCTATTCCCTTCAAAACCAGCAGCAACTGATACTGATTTTGCAGGCTCAGTGCCAACATGGGGGTGGGGGCTGCAAGCTACAGCACCGAGGAAGCATCAAACCAGACTAGTCTGCCATTAGCAGGGCAAGGCCCTGTTGCATCAGGTGTTGCAGTGAGAAGAGCAATGAATTTGGCTCCACCCACCTCCACAGGACAATCTGCCACTGTACATGCCACAGGAAAAGCACAGCCACCTGCCCTCTCTTTTCCTCATGCTCATTGTCCAGCAGTGCAGCTTTTCTGTGCATGGTCACTCTATATGTCTGTTGGGATGTGGAATCTTTTTCTATGCATTTTGATGGTGTGCAAGGTTAGAATGCAACCTGTGACAGGGGGAAAAGTTAAATGCAAGTTAAGATGTAGCTGTAAGATGGGGTGGAAGTCAGAGTGAATGATACACTAGTCCCCACCACCACCCATGGTAGAGACCTCTTTAAATGTATATCTTCCAAGAACATCTCATTTATTTCTCTATATCTCAATTTTCAAATGCAACCACATTTGGAAACATTGCAGCCCAGGTAATATTAGCAATTCATTGTACATGAACAGTAAAACTGTAGAGTTCAACAGAGTTTTTTTTTTATATATATACACGTACACATACACATCTCCACCCATCCATCCATCCACCCATCCATGGATCCTCCTTCTCCTTCTTGGATTGGAGGCCCTCCTACTTCCTGCAGAGTAGGCCCAGTTACATAAATGAGATGTAAATTAGCTTTATGTATGACTAAGTTGTGAGACAGTTCACAGACATGAAGTCAGCAGGACTCTGAACATGTTTTGGGGGAATAGTAAAGGCTTTGGTTCGAGTTATATGTTCAGGTTTCTATTTCTTGGTAATTTAAAAAGAATACTGGCCAAAGAATTTTGCTACCTGAAGCAGCACCCAAATCCCTCCCAGAATGAACACTCTAGAAACTCTTGGTGCATCACTGATGCACCAATTTCTGCCATCATCTTTTACTCCCATCCTCATGATGCAACCTGAAGAAGACAGAGTCATGCTGTGGAATACCTGCATGAAACTAGTCTGTAATGCAACAATTGTGTGCATCATTTATAAATCAGAATAGCATTTGTATTCAGGCAAGGCACAAGTGTATGCTTCATGGTAAAATCTCACCTCACTCCATTTCTCTTACCAGTGGGAAGAACAATGCAAAATGTACTGATAAAAGAAGTTGCTTGTGTTTAACTGGGCTGGATTGAACTCCAGCTGCTAATACATGTCAGAAATACAGCTTTGTTTTAATAAATACAGTAACTATAGAAGGAAAGGTTATTCATACATATTATGACTGGTTCCATAGTTCGATTCTGTTATACATGGGAATAAGTGCATTTTTTCACTTTCTACTTTGCTAATTATGATGGGAAAGGACACTGGTTCATCTTTTCATTTCGCTTGTTATTGTCTGCTTGTAGATAGAACACTCAGGGGATATAAGTTGGAACAGTGAGACAGAGGCAAGAAATACTTCCTTCCACAATTTGCTTGGAATACTAGAAGTGCAGCAAAGGAGTCAGAAACACAAGGTCGTGAGTTCACTGGTTCCAGTAAGTACAAAATTACCTTGTTTTGATGACTGATGCATTTTCTTCTAAAATGCTGTACTGTGTACATTGCTTGAAAAGCATTGATTTGCATTATGTTAATGATGGCATTGCACAATGGCATGTCTTCTACTGCCATGAAGGAGGTAGTGGTGCAGCTAGTCCTAAAAGAGAAGAACAAGAACAGGAATCCAGGGATCTAGTGGTCTATACCAACTATTCTCTGGTCACACATTTGCCCCTCCCAGTTCTGAGGCTTGAGACAGCAGCAACATTGCAACTGCAAGCACTCATGAATGAACCTGGTTCTCTGATCCATTGCAGTCTGGTGTCAGATCAGGTTTTGGGGTAGAATTAGCTCTGGGTACCCAATGGATGATCTTCTTACTCCTTGAACTTGCAGCCATTTCCAATGCTGATGATGGCAGCATCCTGACAGCTGAGTTGAGAGTTAGAGGGGTTGTTTGGAATTGCTTTAGCTTTTACGTTAAGCAAGAAAAACGGAGGTACAAGCAGAATGAAGCATAAAAGAAATTGAATGACATGGCAACTTCATTTCCTGGACCAGACCGCACTGTGGGAAATACTCCTAGTTCTAACCTGTTAAGTACCCCGAAAGAGAACTTCCTTTTTACTAGTGCTAAAGATGAGAAAGCATTTATCTCCATTCTGTGTCTTGCCTAGCAGAGGGACTTCATTTCTATTTTTTTAAACTCTCTTTGGCCACAATCCTAGGATAATAATCCAAAGTCCAAAGAAGTAGACTGTTCCTATGCAAGGCAGAAAGAACAGTTAAGCTAATCTTC